AACACCTGAAATGTTTACTGTGATTTTCTAAAGTGACCCACCCGAGTTGCAGAAAAGCTTGTCCCTCTTGAATCTGCACTACAACCAAACTTACAAAATGGCCACAGGAGACTAACTTGAAGAACCCAGCTACCACCTGATTGGACAATTTCACGCTGCTCTGTGCTTGGACTGTTAATGTGTAATCAGATTCAGGTGTGATTGACACTAAACCTGTGCAATTTGCTACTTTCTGCCAAAGTCGGTGTTTATTTCTCATATGCACAGTTAGGAAAGTGTTTCACTGTACAATGAAATTCTTACTTTGCCATCCATATGAATGCCACACAATACAAGTGAAATATAAAGTAGATGAGCAAAAACAAATCTAAATATACTGTATAATAAAGGATGACAGTTAAATGATGGAAACTGTTGTAACCAAACTTCCCACAGACGGTATCTTAAAACCACTAATATTTAATATGAATAAAGAGGAGTTTCAAATAAACACTGTACAGAGATAAATGTAAGAATTTACATTTTTCAGTTGCTTCAGCAAGTGTAGAAGTGCAGCTTATTTCACGTTGTCAAATGTATTTTATATCTAAGGAATCAGAACTGAACGATGTATCTGTCCCATTATTTTTAGTCAACATACAGTGGGGCAAATACGTATTTGATACACTGCTGATTTTTCAAGTTTTCCCACTTACAGAGAATGGACAGATCTGTAATTTTCATCGTAGGTTCACCTCAGCTGTGAGTGACAATCTACAAAAAAATTCCAGGAAATTACACTGTTAGATTTTTAAATAATTTATTTCCATTTTATTGCATGAAATAAGTATTTGATACAATAGAAAAAATAGAACTTAATATTTGGCACCAAAACCTTTGTTTACAATTACAGAGGTCAGACGTTTCCTGTAATTCTTGACCAGGTTTGCACACACTGCAGCAGGGATTTTGGCCCATTCCTCCATTCAGGTCTTCTCCAAGATCTTTCAGGGTTTGGGGCTGTCACTGGGCAACACGGAGTTTCAGCTCCCTCCATAAATGTTCTATTGGGTTCAGGTCTGGAGACTGGCTAGGCCACTCCAGGACCTTGAAAAGCTTCTTACGGAGCCACTCCTTGCTGTGAGTGACAATCTACAAAAAAATTCCAGGAAATTACATTGTTAGATTTTTAAATAATTTATTTCCATTTTATTGCATGAAATAAGTATTTGATACAATAGAAAAAATAGAACTTAATATTTGGCACCAAAACCTTTGTTTACAATTACAGAGGTCAGACATTTCCTGTAATTCTTGACCAGGTTTGCACACACTGCAGCAGGGATTTTGGCCCATTCCTCCATTCAGGTTTTCTCCAAGATCTTTCAGGGTTTGGGGCTGTCACTGGGCAACACGGAGTTTCAGCTCCCTCCATAAATGTTCTATTGGGTTCAGGTCTGGAGACTGGCTAGGCCACTCCAGGACCTTGAAATGCTTCTTACAGAGCCACTCCTT